TTATTAAATTCTCAAGTTTCGAAATATATCACCTGTACTGTTACTATATTAATTGTCTTCTACGCAAAATTTATTTTGCAATAAAGAACTTGATGAATTTGTTATTTCTTCTTAATCCCCTGGTAGCAATAAAATACTTTTTTTTTTACTACATAACAATGTTTCGATTCCTATGGAACAAATGAATACGATTTATTTTAATTCCTTTTAATCAGTGCAATATAATATTACTTCACTGTAACCGAAATATACATTTATCAAAGATTGTTCTCAACTAAATATTATAAAATTAAATAGTCGTCGAAATTACGACCATCGATTAAATTTGAAGTGAATGATTAATAAATGCAAATTTAATATTATTCTATTACAACTGCGATATACATTTATTGTATTATATCGTCAAAGATTATTCTCAGTTAAATATTGCGAAATTAAATAAACGCAGATAACAGACGTCGATTAAATCCCAAGCCAAGTGATTAACAAACCTGCTAAAGATTCAAAAATAATTTGTCATTAATTTGTCGCTAGAACGTTATCTTTCACTACGCGCTTTCCAAATGTACGCCGAATCGGCTACTGGTTATGATTTCGCAGGCAAAAAAGGTAGCTGGTTCGGACGATTGAAAGATTCTCCACGCGTTTCATTAATCAAACCGTAGAAACCACGACGTCGACAAACGGCAGTCGTCATGCGAAATCCACCGCAGCCTCTCGATAACCCGTGGTAATGGTCCGATCGAGGTGAAATCGCCGATTCGAAGGAAGATGACGATCCATTGATGAACGTGTTCCGTCCGAAGCTGTTCCCGTTCTCGCGCGTAACTGCGCTTCGGAATAGGGTCATGTCCGTGTGACCGCGAGAAATTTCAATAATAACCGTGCGTGGCCATTTTCAGTGGCAATTTCGCGTTATGCAAACGACAGAGAGGAAGAGGAGGGGGGGGGGAGAGGAAGAGAGCCAACCGCTGCGTGTATATCACGCTACAAAGCCAGAACGATACTCAAGTGTAGATTTATGCGAATCGAAACGTCGTAACTCGGTCACGAATACGTTTTGCTCTCTGCGAACCGTTAAAAATGACGCGACTCGAATCTTTGCATATTTCATTTTACTTCCGCAATGAGATTGTTTTCTTTTTTTTATCGTTGAAAGCGTGTACGAAAGTTTTAATTTATATTTAGGGATGTTTTTTCTTAAGGAAATCGAAGATTGAATCGATTTCTCCCGAAGATCGAAAGTATGAGGAGATATTGGTAGTTTGGTGTGTTTCGTACGTTTAACGAAATTAATATGTTTAAAAAAAAAACGTTTTCGAATTTTATTTCCTAAGATTTTAAATATCGTAAAATCGTAATACCTTGGCTTCGTTTATTACTAGAATAAAATATATGTTGTACGTAAGGGAAATCTGGAATCGTCCGAAATAATTGAAAACGATTCTAGTAATGCTTTATGATTTCCTATGTATTGAAGGATTTATTGTAGGAAAATACTCAAACATCGGCCAAATACACCTGAGAAATCTGAAACACTGTAGATCTTCAGCATTTTACCATGTTACCTAAAAAATTTAAAAATGTACTCTTGTAAAAATAAAAGATCTAAATCACTGCAAACAATATTGTTTCATTGTTCGTGCGTCTATGAAATCTTTTAAAAAACGAGGAACGAAATTTCCCATATCCGAAGTATTTTAAATCTTTGCCTCTATGTGTGCAACGAAACATTGAAATTTTATATGCAATTGATACGCAGTAGTTTGATATCCATAATTGATATCCGATAACCTTGTAGTTTAGAATTAAATTCAGAGTAGGTACAGTTACAATTTTCTTTCGTTGAATTTGATCCATAATCCGCATCACGAATATTAATTCAGTAGGATATTCGATCCGATATTATAAAACCACGAGTTACAGGATATAAAGTATTAAAAATTTCCCTAATAAAACTTATGAATTCATCGAATCATAGACTGTGAATATTTATATATTTATGGGATATTTGCTGGTGAAGATCAGGCGAATGCACATAAGAACGCACATAATACGCAATCTGGCCGAATAACAATGAGGTAATTCCTTTTGAAAAAAATGAAAAGAAAATATGGGACAAAATGTTTTCATTCCAAATATTGTTAAATTCGATGTTTTTGAAAACCGAGGCTCGGACGAAAAAAATCATTTTCTATACTTTCTCCTCATTTTTTCGCAAGAAATCAACCGAATGCCGTCTGCACATTCGACCGGATCGTGTGTATACAAAATATCTAAAGCAATGTGCATTATAAAGAAATAAAAAGAAACGTGATTCCCACTTTAGAAAGGATCGCGAGGACTACTTTCCTCGCGTCATGTGGGCCAGCTTCGCCTTTCCCACACTTAATATCCTCGTTTCTCTTCTCTTCATCTCCTACGGTCGCCGCGTTCCCCAGCTTTTGCTACCCTGCAATTTTTCTGCGGGCCCCACGCCAGGTTAATTCTAGGGCAGCCAAAATGCATCCTCGCGGAATCGTACGAGGCTGTGTAGTCGTTGCGGGCACCGTGGGCCTCTCGTGTGTCTGTAAACAATTAAACTACACAACTTCTCCCCGACCTCTTCGAACGGTCTTCGTCTTTGAAGATGAAGTTGCAGCGCGGTACTGCCAATGGAAATAACTGTACCGCGATGTATACGCGAAAAAGGCGCGGTAAACAACTCCAGCTGCAAGAGTTGCTGCCTCGTAAATTGTCCAGGGAGGGTTTTACGACTTGGTCTAATGTTGGTGTTCCACCTGAAGGGAATTATTCTGTTTTTCAATTGCTGCTGACGTTATCATGGGATCGCTGCTGACGAGAAGCTTGCTAGATGCAAGTGTCTTGGTTGAACCTTACGGTTTATCTGGTTTATATACACAATCTAATAACGGAATAACGCATCAGAATCATATAATAACAGAATTATCGCGTGTTTTAAAAAAGTAGCTATTCCACTAAAAAAATTAAATTCAAACAGAAAAAATCTGACGAAAATAACAAAGATTCTACCGAATTTCTGACTTCCATATTCTTTATTTGGATAAACATTTCGTTATATTCTAATCCGTACTGCCTGTCCTAAATACCGAAAGAAATAATTTATTACAATTTCCTATCCCTCGTCGATTCTATTCTACGGTCTATCAAACAATTCGTTAGAAAATAACAGAAAATTAACGCGAAAGGACGATCGAAAGATTCCTAACTACCTAAAAGCGTGACAAATTTCTGGCAATAGCGGGTCACTTTTACCAACGATTCTTTAAGATTCTTCGATAGAGCGCGTTCCAGCTGCGATGAATTTCGCGTTGAAGAATCGTACGCGTCATCGAACGAAATAAGCACGCGATAGCCTTGGATTTGAATTGACAGAGGTGCGCGGTAATGTCGGAAGAGCTACAGAGGGAGAGTTAAAGATCATCGTTGAATATCGCGCACGTCATGGATTTTACTGGAGGCGTCTATGTACCTTGGGATAGGTGCGTCGTGTAAAGCGGTCGAGGGATCGTCACGGATATCTGTTAAGCGTGGAACCGATTCGTACGGCTTAAAAACCTAACTTCGCAACTACGTTTGAAAAAGAACAAAGAGAAAGGCTCGAACACGTATAGATTTTATCGGCGTCGATCGAAGTTCTTCACGCCTGATAGAGTACATGTACTTGCACGATAAGAAGCTGATATATTCAGCTATACGTTGTACGACATCGTGTCCATTTATTTATTTATTGGCGGGAAAACTGTTGCGGAAGTCTCTCTCTTGTAGAAAAGTTCGACCGAGAAGATTTAGTTCCATGTGAAATAGTTAGCTTTTTCGTTCTGTGCCATTTGTAATTATCTGTAATTCTGTAAATATCTGTAATTCTTTTTTAAATTTGCAATACGCTCTTTGATATACGAAGATCATACGGAAGACAAATACGAAGATCATGGTCTTTATAATATACGGAAGACAAGTAATAATAATTGCCATTATCCGTCAACGCAAAAAGGAAAACACGAATCCGAAAAGAAAAAAAAATTGCGGACATTATTACACCTGAGATCTCATTGTTATTTACCGTGATACTCATTCAAATATCACTTTCTTTCTTATACAGAACAATACTATTTACAACATCCTTCATCCTATTCTTAGCGCCTTTCTCGAACGATTTTTAACATTATACGCTGAAAGGTGTACCATTCGCGCTGAATGGACAGTATCCTTTACGAAAGAAAGCAAAAGAACGAAGGGTGGCTCATTGTGGGAAGGAGACGATGCGTGGAAGTTGTACCACGAGCAACGAGAGTAAATGGATCCTTGAGAAAGGAGGTGGACACTTTCGTGGGCCTCTCATTTCGGGGTCCGTTCGTGCGGAACAACTAAGTGGACTTTGCGGCTCCGTTAGTCGATACTGGTCCCCATTTAAATGCGGCAAGGGCGTTTTGTACGACGCTCCTTATCGGGCAATTTCTTGCAAAATATCGCAGTTTCATTGATCTTTCTTTCAAGTTTCGATGATTACATGTATTTATGTGTTCTTTTATTTCGACAGAAAAGCTACTATCTTCCACAGGTATCAATTTTATATCGCCCGATGTATTATTATATTCAGTTTACACATTCCAAATGAACTGCGAGGCAAGTATTTTTCTTGAAAGCTGTGAGATTAATTACGTATTCCCTTGTCGAGATCAGTTTATTTTTATTTCTCTGAAATACCTGCTTATTTGATCGAAATTAAATGGTGCATGTTCGTTAACGACGGATTTGTGCGAATAGTTTGATTCGAAAGTCTTGTCTTCCTTCTTCTCCTTGGTAAATTATCTTCTTGTTCTTTTGTTTTCTCTTCTTCTTTTGTTTTCTTTGTTCTCTACTTGAGAAGTAAATTTCATCTTTTTTTTTACGAGGAATAATGTTTCAATAAACATTGGAAATTGCTAAATGACAAATAGTGTTTTAGTAGAATCGAGATCAGAGAAGAATAAAGGAGTTAATGGAAATTCTAAAGGATATATGAAAATATTCATATATGTGTTTGCACATTCTCATCACGAAGGGCGTTGCTGACGATATAATTGATGACGCGTTCGATGACGCGACGAGAATACTCTTTCTTCTCTTCGTTGATTCATTTCAGATAAAGGGACAGGTATATCGTTAATTCGGTTATTCGGGCATACAGCTCAATTATTCCAAGTCTGGCTCGTGAAAAGGGTTCGATCGATGCTGGATTATCGATCGATCGACTACCGTGAGTCGGTATAAATCGTTCTCGATTTTTGCTCGAAACCTTCGCACCATCTTGCCTCCCTTATCTTTCGCTCTGAGCAACATCGAGCGGTTGTTTCGTCTTAATGATCTTTGATCGCGATCTATTCGTATGTAAATGAGCAGGTAGGTCAAAAATGTGTATTAAATTTATAACATCGTATTATATCACAGTGGCCACGATCAACGTTACCCGATTTTCTTTATCACGATCCTATCAATTTTGTTGCTATTAATGAATATAAATGGAGGAGAAATATATTGTTTTCAGAAATTTTTTTACAAAAATAATTGGTTTTATAAAGTCATTTGTGTTTCCTGTACACTGTGGTCACAATGTAATTAAAGGCGAAGTTCCAATCTGTAATAAATTACTTTTATACTCAATTTTGAGGCAGTAGCATAGATGTGCGCAAAATTGATGTTGTTGATAAAATTTTTTGCCAAAATAATCGGTGTGATTGGGCCATTTATCTTGGATCTTTTATACCCTGTTATTAGCGATCGTAGTTTGGTGGTGTCCCGATCGGTAATAAACTTTTTTACACTCAGTTTTTATTTAGTCCTTCTGATACTACAAAAAGTTAATTCTATTGACAAAATTAATCGAAAATATCTAAAGTTAGGAAGAATTCTCTCGTAACTACAAGATCGAAAAATATATTTTTTAACGCATGAATGTAAATTGTAACATTCTAAATTAACAGCAATTCATATATTTCTGTTTTTAACGATATAATTCTACGAGCTCTTAGTCGTCGCTGATATTTTACATAAAAGAGAATACGCGCAGTATTCACACAAAATTCCACGATCTCTCAAAAATTCACTTCGTCAACTAAATTAAATACAATAATCAAAGACTCCCGATCTGAAAATAGAATCCTGGCTAGTCCAGGTGGTTAAACAAGAATCTTTTAACCCTTTGAAAGCACGTTGCTTTTTTACCAGTCAAAATATCCCGTTGACACAGCACGATACTGATCGGAGCGTATTTCTTGGCAGACTGGCGAAACCGTCGAAAATCATGCGACACGCTCGTAATAAAGGGACTACTGTCGTTGGTACCAATGTTTTATTAACCCGGACAGCCTTAGGAGGTCCATGTGTAACCAGAAACCGACCGCTGCTCGCCCCAGGACATCTAATTCGTTTCCCCCCTCCTACGTCCAGGTAAAATAATATTCGGCTGCACGTGTTACGTGAACACGACGCCTTCATGAAAATCTAGGACCTGGTATTAGATTCCTTCGTGACTAGGTGCTGATGAAATTTCAAAAAAGTTATAACGAGCCGCGAAAAAGGAAGAATTACTTAACAAAAGAAGGAAGAAATATGCAGCGTGAACGAAAGGATAAAGAAGGAGGTGTAGAGTGTATGGTCGTCTTGCAAAGGACCAAACTACCGTAGATCTTATTACTAGATCGTTCTTTAACGATCCTATTACTAGTTCGAGCGTCGTCTACTTAACAGGTACAGAGTATAGATCATCGAGTTCCGTCTCTTCGTTATTGGACCAATTTGCTTAAAAATGTACATTAATGAAAAGATTACATCGACGACAAGCATCGATCGAACGATACTCGTTTACAAGACGATTTTCGAGGTCCGCGAACGATGGAATTTTAATTGCTGTCATTTCACGAGGCGACGTCGTGTCATCATCCTGCGGGAGACACTGATAAAAATACGGATGATGCCCGTTGGAGGCATCAAGCTGGACACGCCATGGAACATCCTATCCGATGCATCTCTTGGTCATGAATTCGATATAAAGGGAATGCGATAAAGGGAACGATAAAAAGACGGAATGTCGTTCGAGGAGGAAACGTGTTGTCGTTTAGGGCAGAAAATACCAGGCGATTCGCGAAATGCTACGACCAGAACGTATAATAAAAGCTGTTGACAGTAATCCCGGATTGTAACGCAAATTAAACGCCGGGTACCACGAAGCGCCTTCGTTTTATACTTTTTCCCGATTTAATTAGTCAGTTCTTCTATTTGTACCTGTGGAATGTGGTTTTCTAGTTGCCGAAAAATTGTCTGACAAACGAGCGAACTGGATCTTTCAAAAGAACATCGAAGCAAACTTTATTGCGCGATTGAAATATTTTGTTTACTTCTTCTGCATCTGTCCCGTCTTATCATTGGTTTGAAAAATTGAAGAAGCGCAACAAACGTGAAGAGATATAGAAGATATAATAAACTTTAACGAGCGTAAAATATATTAAAAGAGATAGAAGAATATCAAAAAATGTTAACAATGTTGATCAAACGCTAATCTCGCTAATAAAGGAAAACCCCAATTGAACGAATAAAACCAACTACGGGATTCGATGTTTCTAAAAGAAGAGACATAAGAATTTGACCAAATCATAGTAAGAACAAAATCTTACTATGTTCACGTTGTTAAATATACTGGTACATTACCGATAAAAAAAAAAACGAAAAACCTTTAACGCGGCTATCAAGCATCGTAAAAACATAACGAAACAATTCCCATGTTCAACTTACAAGATTTTAATACGAATAGTACCACAAATCTTTCCGCGAATATTTACCACCAATCAATCCGTACCTATGGCTCGCCCCCGAAATTTCCATTCAGCCATATCTCATCGAAACACCATACAGCCAGCAAATAATCATTTCCAGGCATCCGTACGTGTCGCGGACAGCAGACAATACCGGTCGATCCGTCGAATAGCCAGCGATTTTCTAGCCGTTGAATTAAAATTCCAAAATTTCGGACGATTCGCGCTCGAATTTCGGCTGGTATTTCACAATGGCGTGACACAGAGCCGACCGCGTGGCTTTCATCCAGCCTGTGTGATTGATAGCAACCATCCCTCCTCCTCTACTCTCCTCTCTTCCAAACTTTCATCCAGCCCCTCTCGTTTCTCTCTTTTCACTCGTGCAACCCTTGTCATAGCTTTTCACCCATAGCGCTGCTCCTTCGCCAGTAATCAACGACAGTCCAACCACTCCATTGCGGATCGCACAAAGGCACTGCCGGATCATTGTCCTTTGAAATGGATACGGACCAGGAATTCCAGGCTTCTCCTCGAACCAACGGAATGCTTCTTGTTCTGGTAGACACTATCTCTCCTCGGGATACTCTTATCGGGACGATAAACGGGGAAGCACGTGTATAAATGGGAAGGGAATCGTCGATCGATGAAACGATCCTGCGTAAAATCCTGGCCGATGGAAATATTCAGATCGATGGACGGGTAGATGGAGTTTTGCGGAACTACAGCGAACAGCTTCGAACGATTCTGTATGAAAGGAATTACGATGAGTTCCGGATTGGACGAGTGTTTCAGCGTTTTCCAGATTTCAGATTAATGATTACACGGAAGTGTTTCATTTTGATACGCGATGCGACTTTGATGGATTTTATCGATGGTTGATTGTTAATTTTATTCAGGAATTTTAGGCCTGTTTCGTTGTTTTCATCGGAGGCTGTGTGTGTATGAAATTGTTTGAATTGATTGATTGATTTTGATATCGTGCTTTGGATTGTTAGATTTACCGTAGCTTCTTAATTTGTTTAGGAACTTTCCTATCAAATATCGTTGATTGGTTTATTTAAGATATTTTCAGGAGATTTAAATAGATTTGAGTTTCCTTTGCGATGGATTTGTTGGGTTCCATCGATAGTTGTTTATTAATTTGGTATTAATTTTTCGAGGTATTATCGATGTTTCAATTAATTTGAAACATACAACCACGTTATTTCTTCGCTTCGCAAAATTCACCTGCCATAACTAGCTTGCGATATTCTAAATCTGCTAACTCTTTTGTCAGAAAATTTTCGAATACACGTAGATAGAAAAATTCGTTGAAGTGAAGATAAATCCTGAATTCTATTATTTCTATGTATCGATATCTGTTTCACGCCACGACAAATTACTACAGACAGATATAAACTCAAAAGACACGTTCCAAATATTCCCTTCGCTCGATTCTACGTAAATATTGAACAAAAGCACGAAGAAAAATGTCTCTAAAATTAACTTAACACACACATGCGTAACTAATTGCGCCCTCGGTCCTAAATCTAAATCTCGCTCCTCGGTCTCAATTAAAAGCTCCTTAACTTAACTTCTAAAATCTCCAACAAATTGCTCCGCGTACCAAAGGAAAGTCTAATAAAAATAATTCGCTAGAAAAAACAATTCCTTACCTTGCACGGTAACGTCAGCTAAAAAAAAAGCGTCTGCACGGTAGTCGATGGTAACCTATAGTCGATTCCTGGTTCGAGCAAACATTATCTTAACTCCCAGCCCGGTGTAGTCGTTGGCGCACGTGGGTAAACATCCTATCCCTCGAAGCATCGAAGAACACACTGCGACACTTGGCCGCGTTTCCTTTCACCATTCTCCAAAGCTGCCACTATTCATTGGTAATTTCCCGTGGTTCCAGGCCAGAGGAAAGCGATGGCAGTCGATTGAAAATCCCGACGAAACGGAGATTATCGCGACGAGAAAAAGCCTGGAACTGGGCACCGCGGCGGCTGCATTAGCGCTTAAACTGTTTTATCAGGCATCGTTGATCGAGATCAACCGATAGGGTATGAATATGTAAATGACAGGGTGGCTGGATCTCAGAGCCAAGACTACGAGAACGCTTCTTAACCATTCCGTGATCCTGCACCGCGGATCCGCTCGCTCTTTCTGTTTTCGCCGCCGCGAACCGATCGCCCCGGGCTTCACGGCTCCGCGAAATTGCGCGAAGATTATCGGCACCAGGAATATTGGCGAGTATCCCGGCTATCGATCTCCGTTTCTCGATTCGTGACTCGAAACGGTACCGGTATCGAGCGGTTACAGAGGCTCTTAACGCCGTTTACTCGTAAGTCTTCTCAGAGTGTTTCGAATAGACAAGTCGTGAGACCTACGAATATCATTCATATTTTAAACTCATGAAAGACTAGTGTTCACGATTCCATTCATTGTTAGTGGTACGTACGTTGTGTAGATTTAATTATTTAATTCTGCTCTTATTTTACGTTTCTTATCGACGTTTGCATACCTTCCGGATATCCTCTTCGCAAATTTTAAAATATTCTATCTATGAAAAGCGTAAAATACATAAAAGCTACTAAAACACAGATAAATATATTTCATACCGGAATGAAATATCGAAACACTATCTTTGGTATCGTTAACTATATTCCAATGATGCTTATTCAATTATATATCTACGTTTTCGGGTTAAATTGAGTTATATCGAGCCACAGTAAGGTTAAGCAATTCTGCTGTCGTAATTGTTGCATTTTAGTTGTTGTGCCATTCGATGAGAATAATTTAGCGATGGATATATGCAATAAGAAATAACGTGACAACGAAAACAACGAATTCGAGCCATCGACCGTATAAACATCTACTCACACCAGTATCCTTCCTCGTAGCTCTCCAAGTCCTTATCCTAAAAAAAGACTCATCGTCGTGCAATTGGCAACCAAATTCCCAGGAAGAAGACTGTCGAAACCCGCGGGCCTCGATTGCACGTTTCAAGGAACCACTGCCCGTAGGCCTTGAGTAATCCAACACCCAGACGACGTCCTTCTCTTTATTTCGTCGCTCGATCCATCCTTTTTCCTTCTTTTCTCTTATTCATCTTCTCGATCTTCCTTTACCCATCGTCGTGTTCGCCTTCGTCTTCGTCAAAGACCTCCCCTAGACGGGGCATCTAGTATCACCGACCAAAAAGAAACGAACCCCACGCTGAGTCCCATCGTACGGGCTCTCCAGCCACAAAAATAGGTTGCTTCCTTCCGCTACCTTGCGATCGCGTATTTTTTTCACTCTGGTACCCACGGAACGTGCATTAGCTGCAACGGAATGTCCCCGTTTTATCAGACTCGTCTTTACCTGTTTAATTAGTCAGTTTGCTTATTTATATTTAGACTGCGGATTTTCATGCAAATTCATATTTTTGAGAACGTAAAAGAGCAAGTAGAACCTTGGTAGAAAATTGATTTACCTATCAAGTGTTATAGAAAGCACTATACTTTGAATGTTTTACATATTTTTTCATATTATGTGCATTCTGCATTCTATGAAATTTTGCATTTTCGAATTTCCTGTAAACGAATCAAAATTTACAGTCTATTTACATTCGTAGAACGCGATCTTTGTGATTATTAGAAAGTTGTCTGAGAAATGAGTGAATTTGATAGTTCGATCTTATAGTGTAATTGAAATATTATTTTCTTGTTGTTCTACTTGTTTCGTATTATTATTCGCTTGAAAAAATATAAGAAGCATGACAAATGAAAATCACAGGAACAGAATATCGGTACATCTTTGTTGCTTTTTTTTTATTCTAGTAACTAACACTTTATTTTTATTACTAAAATCGCTTTATGACTAACAAGGAATATTTCAATATACTTATTAATTAAGAAGACTATAAAATCCAAAAATATAAGCCTTCTGAAAATAACCAATAAATCTACGATGTTTTGTAAATTTTGACAAATCAGCGACATAATATTATACAAAGATGTATATATATATTTAAAACTAAAATCAAATAAAAAATGAGAAATTGCTAATGTAAAATTCATTAACAACGTATGTCGAATTTTAAGTCCGTTTTTTTTGTGAAACATGAAAAATATAACTTATTACCAGATTTTTAAATATTAAAAATATTAATCAAATATAAAATAAGCTAATTCCATTCACTACCTTACGATCACATATTCTTTTTCACTTTGGTACCTATGGGACGCCCATTGAGTGTCCAATAGGCTATGAGGACTCCTCTGGTCCACGCGGCGCAAAATCGTAAAGTCAAAGAAATATTAGACACCCTGACCACCACGCGACTTATATTTAACGACCGGCTTAATTAATTAAACATCCCCAACCGAGGTCGCCATCGTTGCTGCTGCCGCGCCGTTCCGTTTCTTCGTGGCACTGATAATTGGCCAAGCCTACGTCGCTGCGTTCGATCCGATCGTTAAGCTCTTTGATCTGGGACCGATAACGTTTCATCCCGCTGCTTTTGATTTATCGCGGTCCTCGTTACTCCGATCCGGTTTCTTCATATTTTTACGGCCATTATTTGATCATCGAACGGTAGCCACGGTTTATTTTTGGGACTACTATTTGCACATATATAGTTAGGTTGTCCGGATTTATTTTATAGGGATTGGGATTCTTTGTGAGAGAAATCAGGGACGGGATCGAGCGTTTATAATTAACGCGCCGATTAGGATAGTTTGGTAATTTGCAGAGATATTTTGTATCTCTTATTACTGTTTGCAGCGGTTTATATTTTCCATTATTGATCGTACTTTCTCTATCCTCCGATAATTTCTTACTCCCTGTTAGATATTTATTAGATTGAAGAATTTTCGTTTCAGAATTACTGTTGTTTAATAAATTACAACACCTATTTTATAAGACACAAGCTGGGGTTATAATTATATCCACGTTGAACGTTTCCGTTTTTTGTAATGTCATGAGAAGATATTAAATACAAATATCGTCCATTTACCACTGCCCGTAGGCCTTGAGTAATCCAACACCCAGACGACGTCCTTCTCTTTATTTCGTCGCTCGATCCATCCTTTTTCCTTCTTTTCTCTTATTCATCTTCTCGATCTTCCTTTACCCATCGTCGTGTTCGCCTTCGTCTTCGTCAAAGACCTCCCCTAGACGGGGCATCTAGTATCACCGACCAAAAAGAAACGAACCCCACGCTGAGTCCCATCGTACGGGCTCTCCAGCCACAAAAATAGGTTGCTTCCTTCCGCTACCTTGCGATCGCGTATTTTTTTCACTCTGGTACCCACGGAACGTGCATTAGCTGCAACGGAATGTCCCCGTTTTATCAGACTCGTCTTTACCTGTTTAATTAGTCAGTTTGCTTATTTATATTTAGACTGCGGATTTTCATGCAAATTCATATTTTTGAGAACGTAAAAGAGCAAGTAGAACCTTGGTAGAAAATTGATTTACCTATCAAGTGTTATAGAAAGCACTATACTTTGAATGTTTTACATATTTTTTCATATTATGTGCATTCTGCATTCTATGAAATTTTGCATTTTCGAATTTCCTGTAAACGAATCAAAATTTACAGTCTATTTACATTCGTAGAACGCGATCTTTGTGATTATTAGAAAGTTGTCTGAGAAATGAGTGAATTTGATAGTTCGATCTTATAGTGTAATTGAAATATTATTTTCTTGTTGTTCTACTTGTTTCGTATTATTATTCGCTTGAAAAAATATAAGAAGCATGACAAATGAAAATCACAGGAACAGAATATCGGTACATCTTTGTTGCTTTTTTTTTATTCTAGTAACTAACACTTTATTTTTATTACTAAAATCGCTTTATGACTAACAAGGAATATTTCAATATACTTATTAATTAAGAAGACTATAAAATCCAAAAATATAAGCCTTCTGAAAATAACCAATAAATCTACGATGTTTTGTAAATTTTGACAAATCAGCGACATAATATTATACAAAGATGTATATATATATTTAAAACTAAAATCAAATAAAAAATGAGAAATTGCTAATGTAAAATTCATTAACAACGTATGTCGAATTTTAAGTCCGTTTTTTTTGTGAAACATGAAAAATATAACTTATTACCAGATTTTTAAATATTAAAAATATTAATCAAATATAAAATAAGCTAATTCCATTCACTACCTTACGATCACATATTCTTTTTCACTTTGGTACCTATGGGACGCCCATTGAGTGTCCAATAGGCTATGAGGACTCCTCTGGTCCACGCGGCGCAAAATCGTAAAGTCAAAGAAATATTAGACACCCTGACCACCACGCGACTTATATTTAACGACCGGCTTAATTAATTAAACATCCCCAACCGAGGTCGCCATCGTTGCTGCTGCCGCGCCGTTCCGTTTCTTCGTGGCACTGATAATTGGCCAAGCCTACGTCGCTGCGTTCGATCCGATCGTTAAGCTCTTTGATCTGGGACCGATAACGTTTCATCCCGCTGCTTTTGATTTATCGCGGTCCTCGTTACTCCGATCCGGTTTCTTCATATTTTTACGGCCATTATTTGATCATCGAACGGTAGCCACGGTTTATTTTTGGGACTACTATTTGCACATATATAGTTAGGTTGTCCGGATTTATTTTATAGGGATTGGGATTCTTTGTGAGAGAAATCAGGGACGGGATCGAGCGTTTATAATTAACGCGCCGATTAGGATAGTTTGGTAATTTGCAGAGATATTTTGTATCTCTTATTACTGTTTGCAGCGGTTTATATTTTCCATTATTGATCGTACTTTCTCTATCCTCCGATAATTTCTTACTCCCTGTTAGATATTTATTAGATTGAAGAATTTTCGTTTCAGAATTACTGTTGTTTAATAAATTACAACACCTATTTTATAAGACACAAGCTGGGGTTATAATTATATCCACGTTGAACGTTTCCGTTTTTTGTAATGTCATGAGAAGATATTAAATACAAATATCGTCCATTTCTATATCTACTCCTATTTTTTTTTTTTTTTTTTTTTTTTTACATCGAATACAGTATTATTCTTATCGTAATGTTGTTAAACCAGTTATCACCGAAGCACTAATTATATAATTCCTATTAAACTCGACTAATATCCAGAAATCTCAAATTACGTAACGTCTAAAAAGTTCCGCGACGCATCTCAGACTTCCTAGTAGCCGCGAAGAACGTCAACAACCGTCATTACATACCGCGTGAAAAGAATGCCCCGAGTGGCTCGCGGCTGGAGCTTAAAGAATTCGTCTGAAACTGACGATTCGTAAGAATCGGTTCACGGTTCGCTTAAATACGTGGAATCGCGTGATCAAAGACCACGCAAAGGCATTAAAGTGGACAATTAAAGCGTCACGCGTTCGCGAAATTTCAGTCTTGAACGACGCCGAGCGGTCGAAGGTGGAGCAAGAAAAGGAGAGAAGGAAGAGTGGTGGAAAGATCGAGGCGGTGGCGAGGCACGTACTGCTCGCGTGTGGTCCATCAATCACGGCGTGTTCCCGGCGACAGGTGGACACCGGGGTCGATGGAGAGGCCACATAATTGGGAGAATAGTGCCGGTTTGCTGGTCGGCCGGACGCACGGTCATTTATCTTGTCGCGATCGACCGGCCATCGACGGTTCGCCTCGATTCGAGTTAACGCCCGTGAAATCGTGCGTCGCTCGCTGCCACGGAAAATCTCGTCGCACCCCTCTAATCGATACCGGATACTATTTTCCTCTTGTTACGCGGCCGTTTTACCAGCTGTCTCGCGGATCAAAGCTCCGGACCCAGCGGTCCGATGAAAGCGTGAAGGTACGATGTTACGGGACCCGTCCCAGTCGGCCCGTTTAAAGATTCCTCGATTTTTCCACCCTTTTAGCCACTTTTGAATTTTTTTTTCTTTTCAATGAGTACACTTCAAACGTTTATGCAAATTTTATGTTTTCACCAACATATTGTTAAAGTATGCGGAATCGCACATACTTGCATATAATTGCATGGAATTGTACGGTACGTCAATTACGTTATCGTCGGGAATATTCTTGCCATGGTAATTTGGTATTATTTATAATTTTTGTTTAACACAGTACAGCAATTTAATATTATTATCTATTTCATAGTATGTTTAATTAAGTAATTTATCTTTAAACTATAGTCTCGAAATCAAAGAAGCAATTTCTCATGTCATCCGTATAATCACGATGAATGTAAATACCTCTACGTATTTATAATATACTTGCCAAGGATGCGTTGATCATTTTCGAAAACATTTCAGATGCGATTAGACGACAGGTTTAACGCGTGTATAACGAAGACTCATTAGCCGAGGAAAAGCCTTAGACCTTCTCCGACGAATGCTAAATAGCGTTTATAAATACATAATTACAGTGATTGAAGCAGAAAGCTTTACAGGCGTTGTTGCCACGTTTCAATTAACGAACAGGTGTTAATCATTATTATTCACAACAGCGGGGCATTCTCGTGCTATTTGACCTCGTTCTCGACATTTTTTGGACGTATTTATAAAATTCACTATCTTTTTATGTTAATCGCGTGTATTTTTCTTGCCTTTCGCAATGATCGTTCTTCAAGATTTTCTATCCAATTGCAAGTAAATTGTACAAAATAATTATTAATTCTTTATATCGTCATTTTCTTTGAATTAAGTAGCTCTTCAAGTTGAAGATATATATATATATTTCCAACAATCAACACGTTGAAAACTTTAGATCGAGGAATTCTGCAAAGAAACAAATTTATTTATATCGATTTAAATTATTAATCTAATTACCAGATATCGAATATTTATCCATTTATTATAAGTATAAATGTGCTAAAATATATGAAATAAATATAACACGCAGGAATATACAAAATATCCAATTAATACTTCTATAGTACTCGTTAACATATTCAACTGAGTAGAACTTATTGCTTATTTTCAACTTTTTTAACTATATTTGTAAAAGTATGATCTGTAGTTTAATTCATAATTTCGCAATCATCTACTACCCAAAAAAGTAATTCGAAGTTTGATTTTGTGCAATCAATATTTTTAAAAACTGTAAATACGACTGAACGATTAAAAAATTGCTTGAAAGAAATTGGGTGGATCTTGACTGTTTATCATTATACATAATTATGTTTATCACTTGTATCAATAGTTATAAATCCGAATTTACCTAAATATCCACGATCTAATGTTTACCACGACAATATCTTCATTTAGGAATGTCTCTTAGGAATGTTACTTCTGCTACTTTACATCGATCTTATCAATCCACTCCTGCACAAATCAAAAATATCCTCATAAAATCACCGGTTCGACATTCCCCTTCAAACATCCTCCTAAAATAAACCGATGAGACGATACCATTGCAATAAACTATCAAATCTCTGGTATTTTCACCAACCCTGTCATCCCATCTCTTTCTATCATCAACATTTTCCCAGCAATACGTCAACACGTATTCTTCGATGATCTAAAAATCGAGTTACTTATCTATCGACTAAAAGTGGCCCGATATGGCGAAACACGCTTCCTCTTTTAAATATTCGCCGCAAAACCGATCGACTGAGCAACGACGACATTATTTCTCGATGTTCCATCACGGACAACGTTTTATCGACCAGACGATAACAGCGTGGCCACCGAAAAATGCGACGAAACGACGGGACCGATAAAACGGACGCCCTATTTCCTGGATAACGTCGCATTAACGACCTTTAGTCGAGCGCACACGCACCGCTATTAACGCTATCACCAGCGCAGTTACCGCTGTGGATAAGTAGCTACTTGATGCACTTCGAGCAGAGTTGCATCTGCGACTGCCGATCTGCTCACTGGTTAATTGCACGCGTATAAATAAACCTCTTTATTTACACGCCTGTGCCAAGATTGGTCTCTCTCTTTCCATTTATCTTCGTGTTTCTTTCAGTGTTCCTTTGATATTTTCCTTCCTTGTTCCGAGCGTGGTTCCTCTTCTCCTTTGAAGGAGACGAGAAAGATAATTAAAGGCAGTCGCATTAATTGCGTCGATCGAACGGCGTCGTTGGAGATTGAAATTTCGGGATAACTTCGATAGCGGTGGCTCGTGTAAGTAGCCGTGTCACAGCATCGTATTTTCACGAGCGAACGAGTTTTAATTGATAAACAACTGTCACACGGCTCGGAAGATTGGATACGGGGGAATTAATAGCGAATCTTGGCTAGTAAATCGTTTGGATGTTGCGTTGAGTGGCGTAATAAATTAAATCATCGAGAGGTGATGAGATAGATGTCTTGGTATATTGCGTCCTGTTTTGAGATCCTGCACGATCAAACAGATTATGCCTTATGGCTAATGATATTTCATTTAAAAGCAGTTATATTAATTGCTGTTTCAATAAATTCGTACGTAATACGCGCATCGTAGAAAGAGAGAAATTGTTGATCTTGTATTAAATATTTCTTCGCACGTAGATATATTTTATATAGTACAACTTTTGTAGAAGCTTAATATTCTTTGATATAATTTTCTTTAAGGGAACTTATCGTTTCTTTTCTATTTTTTTTGTGTGTGTGTAAATCTTTTTAGATAAATTAGTTATTGCTCTTGACTTCTTACGTTGTGTCTTCTCATAACTAATCCAGAATACAGAGATTTGTAAGCTTACTTTAGAATTTACTTATCTAATGAAATTAAGGAATTAATAAAAGTGATCAATTCAGTTTCTGACGAGCTCATATAAAGATAATTGTAATCACGTTTTAATAATACGTTAAGCAATCCCATATACGTTTTTCTCATTTTCAACGATTACATGACCACGTTCCACGACTTTATACCTTTGAATAAACAGAAACCAACCGAGCAAACAAGAAACCAAACCATCACGATATAATCACACAGTGTTCAAACAGAAAATTTTTCCGGAATCACTCGACTTTCGTTTCGCAAGCCCCCGAAAAATTTTAAAGCACTGTATAGATTTGTAATCGACGTTGTCACGTTAATTCGATCACCCTTTAATCGAATTCCTGGGATGCCTGTCTCGCTGGTCAGCCGGGCTTTGATCGAATATAAAATTTCCTCCGGCAAATACAGAGCTTTTTCAATCACTGGGACGAGGGAGAGCAAGGTTCGGCGTGATCTGTCACCGATACATGGCGCGGTTCGCTTCCGTCGAATTCCCTAACAAACTTTGTCAATTACGCCGGACTGTAAACTGTCAGTCCCGTGTACCCATCTTAATTGAACGGCCACGACCGATCCGGCCACCGCTAAATTTATGCCGTAAATAACGATCCGACCGTAAAATCCGAATAGTGTATTGCGTAGGTTGCAATAATTTATTTTCCGAAATGTTTAGTTTAGCAGGTTGTAGGTGGAATCGAACGCAGCGTCGAAAGTACGGTTCGATACGAAACGATCTAACATTGTCTGTATGATGATTAACTGCTGTCAGTCACGAAGGTCTACGTATAGTACTCGTCGAATTTTATGTATCTAACTTACCAAAGAAAACTAAAAACTAGAGATTATTTATATTTACATATTATAGATGCAATTGTTATTAACGTATCTCTAAGAAGAATTAAAGAAAATCCAATTTATAGCAATTTTGGGGTAAAATTATGTTACAAATTGTAAGATCTTTAATTGTTTCGACACCAAAAATCAGGACGAAGTAGAAGGACGTTATCGATGCTTACGTAGCGGACAGGGGGGAGCCTACAGGATGTGAATATAATATTCAGTCTACTATTTTTATGATTTCATGTAAATATAACATTGTGTTTTATGTCTTTTCCCCCCTTTTTTTTATAAAGATAAAAGCGAACAAATCGTATTAAAATTTTAACAATACGGGTCTCAGTGTGTCAACAAAATTCGTAGAGCTAACGTTTTTACTTAAACTTTTGCGTAGACTTTCGCGACTGACTGTATACAAGAAAAATATAGGATTGGAAAGACGAACGACTTTTTACATCTTGATATTATTAGTTTTCAACAAGTATCGTTGGCTCGTACAGAAATATATAATACTTTAAATCTAAGTTAGGACACTTCATTTTAGGATATTAATTTGAATTTGTAATATAACTCTATAAAGCAATTAAAATAAAGCTAGTAAGATTAGGGATAGGGCAAGATCGGTGGTTTATATGCGAAATACGTAATTTGATACGGTCGATTAAAAAGATCGAACTCATCTATTGATGGTCAGTTAATAAAAATCCTGCGAGTATTCCCGGGAGTGAAATAAAATTATCGACGAGCACGACAAAAGTTGAAACATGGTTCCAATTTGCTCGCGCAGTACCGCCCAGTACCTATAGTTCATTTTAACGACGAACATTCTCGTCTGTTCAAAATTCATCGAGTTCAATTATGTTACAATGGACCAAAGGTTTTCTACGATATTGAAATTCACAGTTTGAATTTTATATCCCGAAGAAAATAAAACAGTAACTTTAAAGCACTAAAAAGCACTAAACTATCATCGTTAATCCCTTTATAGCTAATCCAAGTGTCATTTCTCAACCATATCAACCCTATTTGGAACATTCCAATTACAAAAAATACAACAAACTATCTAAATCTAATTATTCTAATACAATGTTTCAACCCTTCTTTTTAATCCTATTTCTAATGCTCATACAACGTCATACAACGTCATAAAGCACACCCCAAAAATTAAACTAAAATCACCAACTCTTCTATAATTGATCATTCTAAAGCAATTTTTCAATTAATTCCGTGTTTGTTGTAACGCACGATCAGCCTAATATTTTTCATCGTCCGATTACACAAAACGCATAAACCCCAATTCAGCATCTGAACGAACCTACGTTTCTGCCCGTTCCCCATTCGTCGCGTATCTTTTCCACCGTTTTCCCTCGCTCTTACCTTTATCATTTTGCCGCGGCATTGTGTCAGCTTCTTTGCGAGGGGAATCGGTCTTTTTTAGCTGGTTCGCGAGCCCTCGAGAGACACGCGTAAGTCGTATCGACGAAACGCAACAATGGCGCCGCGAGATTTCGCTCGGAATCGTATCAATCGCTGTCGTGGCACAATCGTTTCTCGACGTGTTACCTGCTCTACGCGAGCCCGTTCTCCTCATTGTCGTCGAGGGGAGAGGAAAAGGCATTCACAATGGGACCCCATTGATACGCCATCGATACCTGTGGAGCACGCCGATTCACGTTCCCGTGCTCGTGCATCGTTTACGTGCCTCGATAGTCTGCATCTCAAAGGGCCACCGCGAGAAAATAGAAACGGGCTGACATCGATGCTTGTTAACCGCTTATTCATATACCGTGCAGCAATGCCTTTGGTATTAGGTTTTAGGGGACGGTGTATAAATGGCGATATTTCGGCGATTAATGTGTTTACTTGTGGTATGGTAAATCAATTTAGACGAAGGTTGGCTTCGAGGATGCAGATAGGAAGGTTAAAGATCGGCAAATGCGATTGATCTTCGTATATTTTTCCTGCAAATGTTACATCGAAAATTATATATCTATTGTACTAGTATGTGACATACTATATTGTAGGATCATTACTACAATTACTTTATTTACAATAAATGGATTAAACAGATGTTGGTTAAACAGAAAACGATGGTTATTTAACACGAACTAATCACGATAACGTATTATAATGAAGACAACTAGATAGTTAATTTGCAACTCTCGTCACCACGGATCCAACTCTCTTTCTCACGCGAACTACACTCTCTCGACAACGCTAGCAACACTCTCACTTCTCAACTCACAATGACTGTTAATTCGTTTTTGCCCCTTAACAACCCCTTGTCTTTTGTCTTAGCCCCACCACGCACATGTTCCGCAAGCGCTTGTTTATAACTCGTCCGACACCCCCCAGGCCCCTCGCCCACGATACTACAATATTGATGTACTATTGATATGAATGTGATCTTTAGATAATCACGATAAAAAAGATCACTTGTAAATTACAACGTAAATTTCTGCATATACTGTGTAGCTTGGTAAGAAGATGTTATTACATGATCGATTTTAATTCTACAATAAGAAATTCTACCAAAAGATGTACAACATTAAATCGAGATTACTTGGAAACTTAAAAAGTGTAGTAAATTATTTGTCCAGGAATTAAATATGATTCGAATTCCTAATTGATATACTATTCTTTATAACAATATGAAGTTTAAGTATATGGATCAAAGATAAAACTTTGTCTTTCAAATATACGATCTGTGATTCCACTTTAACGAACCAATTTGACAATGAAGTTGAATAAAATTATTGTCATTAATGAATCGTTATTGCTTTCGTAATTGTGCCCTAAGCATCCACTCTCTTTTACAATTCATACTTCATCTATTTTAACGATTTTATTCAATTTACATTATTTTGTTACATTTTTCGTAACAGCCTCTCTCTCTTTCTCTGCTTATTCGCCAGCGTCATGTTACAGTTTCAGGAAATTATTAAAAACAGAATTCACTCGTATAATCAATAATTTAATCATAATTTCATTATGTACCGTTTCCATTCAAGATATACAGAGATATTCGCAAAAACATTCAATTTTAACAATTTTATCAGACTCACCCCCAAATTACTTTAATTTATAAAAACATTTCGAACGGTTGCGCGTCGTCAGAATCGATCAACCCTTTCCCTCTTGCCAACATCGAAACGCGCGAATGAATATTTCATCCCTGTGCGCGATTACATTTCAAACGGACTCGGCTGCTTGTACAAGTGTCTCGCTCGTTGGCCGCATTAAAAAATGCGTTTCCTGCTCGCAGCGCGATTTCCCATTGCGAGAAACATCCATTAAAGCTGGTCCATTGTATCAAACAATGCTCGTTCCCGTTTATACCGCCATCGAACACGCGCAAACAACTACGAGTGCCCGCAAACATCCCCTGCTGTACGAGCAGGTAGCATCTCGGTCGAGGAGAGAGGAAGAATAGAGAGGAGAGAGACGTGGTATCGATACATGGGACCCTTCCTAATCGATTAATATCAATGCAATAAACGTCAATGAATATCCAAGGGATACATTGGCTTTGCTATCCCGCGCAGAAAAATATACACCTCTTTATTCTGTGAAAACACGCGACATACCCTTTTGGTGTGTTTCCTCTTGTTCGAAGTGGCAATATAAATCTCAACCCTAAGTTTCTTACTCGATAGGGATCTCTGTGGTTGTTGATGGAGATTGTTGGAAGCGTCGATGTGTCCTTGATTGGGTTTTGGAAGGATAACTGTTTGGAATAAGGGTAAAGTGGAATAGTATGAAGATGGGTGATTAGGGGTAGTAAAATGTAATTTCGCTGGCAGGAATATTCATAAGTTGTAATTGATGCTTGTAATTTAATTTGTAAAATAGCGATGTAT